AAAATTAGCCAAATTGAAAATTATTTATTCATTTAATTATTATCATGAATGTTTTTTTATTATTTATAGGAAGTATTATGTTCGTCTTTTATTCTTTTATCGCAATTAGATGCCTAATGTTTTCAAATGAATGATTCAGATCATTTTAATGAGGATCACACTTCAATGATTAAGATCCTCCGCTTTGATTTTCTTTGCCATATTCCGTTTGGCCTTTTTTATAAACATGCCATCTCATTTAAATTTCATCCAAAAGCCAAAAAAGTGACACATCACACTTCAATGATTAATGCAAAGGACCCACTAATGTAGTGGTTTGGAGTAATTGCTCCCCCGGGCAAGGTGAGTCCAATTTTCCTGTTACCAAATGTGCCCACCCTGTTTCTCTGCTAACTTCGTGACATGTGGCAAGCCACTTAACACCACTTAACTCTGTTAATTCCATTTATTTTTATTAAAATAGCAAAAAATAAAATATGCGCAGCCCACACCATCCTTACATCCCCGACCTCTACCCCAGCAACCTCCCCACCGCCAAAAGATCTTCTCTCTCTCTCTCTCTCTGTGAGTTTAACCCGTTGCCAACCACCAGCACCTTTTTTTTCTTACTTCAATGGCAACCCCACCCTGCACCATCTCTCAATTGAGGATATTTCTAAGGTTTGAGAATTGAGCCCCTTTTTGTCCCAAGAGCAGAAAGCTTTAGACTCTCAAACCCCTCTTAGGCCACAACAGCATCCTAGTCACAAAATCCAAAAGAACCCAAATTCAAAGAGAAAGAAAACCAAAATTAATTCATATTCAAAAACCATTCGTGTAGTCTAATGCTTCTCTCTCCTAGATTGTGCCTCAATTCTCATTCCCGAAAACTGACTGAAACCCCCATACTCTCAACACCAACCAAGCCGACTGGCACCCATGGTCGATGAATCCAGTTCAACCAATTTACACCCACGAAACATCAAAGAATGGATTTTTAATTCTAAAATTTGGAATTTTGGGTTGGAATTTTTTAAAGTTTATGTGCAGGAGGGGTGGGGTGGTTCTCTGTCTCTGTCTTGTTTGGCTAGCGGTAAGTAGGGGAGAGAGAGAGGGAGGGGCGGTCTCGTGGTGGTGGGGTGGGGCTGGAACAGCAAGGCTTAAGTCAGAGTAGGGGAGGACAGAGATTGGCTGGTTAGGATGATGAGAGGTAAACTTAACAGCGTTAACATGGTTAAAAGTGCTGTTAAGTGGTTTGCCACATGTCAAAAAGTTAGTAGGGAAATAGGGTGGCACAGGATATTTGGTAATAGGAAAATTGGACTCCGAGCACGGTCCTAGATTCGAGTCCTAGATTCGAGTCTTAATATTTGTGTTGTGTGTGTATTTGGTATACTATCGCCCCTCTTAATAGGAAATTTCTTTAAATAAATAAATGAATAAATGCAAAGAGAAATTTTGTTCCTTCTTTCTTTTATATGTTCTAGTTTCTTCCTCCCACAAATTCCCTTTTTTTTTTCTTGGGATATCAAGCAAATATATATTATGTGGTGTTATATCGGAAGTGGAGGTTCGTGTTAAAGACATTTTGCATAATATATAGTCTAGGAAATATATAACATTTTGTTAAATATTCCCTGTTGGCGTATATTTTTACATGCCAATTTGGTAAGCTGCTTTCATTTTCTTACATGGTTTGGTATTGTACTTTGGGGTTCGGTCAATATTTTTTTAATAATAATTTTTATTGTTATTGCTATAATTGGTTCGCTCAATGTTCGATTCCTATGGATTGTTTCGGAAGTTGAATTTGGATTTCCTGTTAGGTCTCTACATTTACAAGTTGTCTAACAATTTAAAACATGACACGTTAATTAGCATAAAATTGCTTTTAGTAATGTTTAACAAAAGAATGAGTCACAAAAGTGCTTTATAGAGAAGCACGTATTAGGTGTATTTTCAAGAATCATCCAGAAAACACTTGAGTTTTCAATAAATTTTTTAAAATGCTTCTCTATTAGAAGAACGTTATGCTAACCTCATCAGAACATCTTTTGTGGTCACTTTTATTGCAAAATGTTTTTGATTAATTGGTCGCAAATATATGTCATGCATATAGTATAACAGTTGTCTTTGAAGTTTTGAGTACAATACGTGGACTCTTCTGCGCCTTTTTGATTAATTTATTGTGTTGTTGATGGGAGTGGACCAAGAATCATTTATTTGGATATCTAAACTACACGACCATTCAAATACAAAGGGGAAAAATATCTATTTGAGTTTATTTCACAATGTCATCACATAATTCCAATTATTCATTTTTTGGGTAATCATCGTTTATAAGAAGTATTGAGTAGTTCTTCTATTTATTTAAGTAATTTTTTGTAACAATCATCTTTGAGTAATGACCTAAATCATGAATATTTTGGTTAATAAGACAATATGGGTCTCCCTTTTTTTCCTTTCTATAATTCAAAATACACCATTATATATGAATATATAGCAAAATACACCATTATTTATGAATATATAGAAAAAGAGACACCATCTTAGTCTCAATTATAACATGTACTGCTTTGATGAATTATTGCTATCTAATTAATACTTTACATTGAAATCTATTGAACTCAAACTAGTTTCTTAATTAACTAGTACTATCTCCTTAACACTAAAATACCATAACAATCTTATTATAATAACACTCAATGACTTATCTCATAAGTGAGTGGTATAATCCATGCAGGCACATGTGCTTCTTCAGCATAGAGGTCTGTTCATTATCTCCTTCAACTTGAGGTGCTCGCAAAAGGATTAGGAGGCATGGCTAGATTATTACCTTCTCTTTCCAACATTTGAACTACAACTTTCATTGAAGGACGATCTGTTGGATGCCATTGAATGCACCATAGACCCACAATTGCAAGTTTCCTAGCAATTGTAACATCTGCTTCATCGTCACCAATATGAATTCGTAGGTCGTTGCCCTGCTCTAATAGGTTATAGATCCATTCTGGGAAGTAGACTTGGCTAGTGGAGTCTTCCATGACTTTAAAGTTTTTTCTACCTCCAACCATTTCAAGTAACAATATTCCAAAACTATAGACATCTGACTTATAGGAGACATTGCCGAAGTTCCTTGAGAAGATTTCGGGTGCAATGTAGCCCATGGTCCCCCTGGCTGTAGTCATCGATATTGCGCTTTGATCCTTAGCACAAAACTTGGCTAAACCGAAATCAGAAACTTTTGGAGTGAAATCTTGGTCTAGCAATACGTTATGTGGTTTGATGTCGAAGTGGAGGATCCGTTGGTCACACCCTTGGTGAAGATATTCAATTCCTTTGGCTATTCCAAAAGCGATATCTTGTAACTTGTCCCAACCAAGGAATGAATTCTTATTATCTGCTGATGATAAGAAATTTTGCAATGAACCATTTGGTAAGTATTCATAAACAAGAGCACGAATAAATCCATCGGCACAAAATCCAACCAAGCGAACCACATTGACATGGTGGATTTGACACATAGTCCCCACTTCATTTATGAAATCTTCCCCTTTTTCACTTGAATTGTTGAGCATTTTAACAGCAACAAGTAACTCAGAGGAAAGAGTTCCTTTGAACACCGTTCCATAGGCCCCCTGACCCAACTTTTCCTTGAATTGATTTGTTATCCTTTTAATATCAGCATAGGAATATCTACTTGGCTTCATCGCTCTGTATTCATCCAAAAATCTTTCAATTCTAAGCTGATTTTCTTTTTCCTTTTTGTTTGAGTTGTAGACATAGTAGATTGTCGTCCCCGTCGCTATTAGAACTAAACAGAGTGCGGGAATACCTGCAAATATTTTCTTTTTGTGTCAAACGTGTTTTAAAGCATTTTTAGCCATTTTAAACTCTCTTCCAAACATACCCTTGATTAACTTCCTCCCCATTATATTCATAAAAGAAATGAAATGAAGGTTTGCGGATATAGCTCACCTAATATCTTCAGATTTGGCCTTCTATGATTACGACCTGTAAATGTTGTTCATGAAATAAGGGCCGGTTTTCAAATCAATGAAATCCGAAATTATAGTTTGCATAGAATCTTCAATTAATCTTGAAATTATAGTTGGAAAGTAAACTTGGAGTGTAAAATACCTTTGCAATGTTCACTTGATGGAACGGACCAACGCAATGTTCGCCACCCCTCATATTTCGAATCTGATGTGAAGTCACGCACCTTGATACAAGACACTAGGGGCATTTCATCAATGGAACATTCATAACCAATGACAGCGTAAATATGGTTACCAGAATTGTTGCCATGGCTCAATCTCGCCAGACAACCCTTACCATCTATGCTGGAACAATATTCATCTCTTTCTGTTGACGGTGGACAACTGAATAAGATTGCGCGGCCTACGAATTCGAAGGGAGAAGAACCATTACTGTAAAACAACTCCCTTGGCAAGCAACCATAATAAGGAATTCCTCTAATTGCATGAGATGTGTAGTTAATCTCTTCAACAATGAACTTAGTTGATGATGCCATATCGAGCAAAGTCGCTTTGTATTCGTCGCAAGAAATATCAAAGCCCCCGAAGCCACAATGGATTGGCTGCCTATCTTTAAGTCGAAATGGCCATCGGATGGCTGGGCCGTCTGGGTGACATCTTGTTTCTCCGCAATCTTCATGGCCTACTCCACCATTGACTCCTATTCCTATTACTACTACCACGGCCAACCACCATAAGAAATTCATGATGAGAACCCTTTCTAAGCAAATAAATCGAATTGCATGCAGATGATATAAACTCAGGGGACAGTACTTCAATTTGATTACTTCAAGATGATATGGGCCCCACTCCATCTAGATGTTTGAGTCAATGGCGGGCGGGTCATGACTCATGACTCATAACTCATGCAACCCCTCTTCTTCTTTTTTTTATCTGACATTTTTATTTTTTATTTTTTTATTTATGTTGTGGTTCCAAATTTGCCCCTAAGTATAAATCAGGTAAGAAGTGTTTTCATGATTTTATTTGGCCATTACAAGGCACCCTTTTTGTAAAATTGAACCTATATCTAAGAGTCCCTTTAAATTAACTGTACTAAATTGAAAATCTCTTTCTTCTGCTCTGACATCATGTCTAGAGGAAGTCTCCTATCTGCTGCTTACAGAGCCCTCCTCCTTCATCATCTTCTTCTTCTTCTTCTTCTTCTTCTTGTTCCTTCCTCTTGTTCCCAAACAGTTTCCAATAATATTACAGCTAATAAAGCTCATGATAACTCTGATTGTACCCGTTCTTGTGGAAATATTAACATAAGCTCTCCATTCCGATTGAAAGGAGACTCTAAACACTGCGGCAACAAAAGCTTCGAGCTATCTTGTGAGGCCAAGGGAAATGGTACTACTCATCATGCAGTGCTATACTTTTTATCAGGAAAGTATTATGTACAAGCAATCAATTACAATAACTTCACAATCCGACTTGTGGATGCTGGTGTTCACAAGATCAAGGACAACTACTTCTCCCACCCACTCTACTCCTTCACCCCCTTCAACCTTTCTTATTCTGATTATTACAGCCCCATTTACAGTTATGATTACCCAACAGCATCATCAATGTCTATAATCTTCCTGAGCTGTAAAAATCCAATGAATTCTTCTGCTGTCATTGTTGAAACAGCTCCATGCATCAATGGGATCAGCAGCTATTCTTCTTTCCCCAATTTAACAACGTATTCTTATTTCATGGTTCTGCGTGGCTACGAGAATGGCCTATCCGATTTGGGGGTGTCCTGCAAAATAACACTAATGGTTATGGTGTCCCCTTCAACTGAGGAGCACATGACGTCTTGCAAAGGAATATATAATGAAATAGCGCATGGCTTTCAACTCTCATGGTTTCGTCATGCATGTGTAGGAAAGTGCAGACCAGAGGAATATTGCGAGCTGAACAGCAACGGCACTGGAATTCAATGCTCACCAGGACCAGTACCAGACCCAGAAGAAGGTGAGACAATTGCCAAACCTTTAAATTATAAATTATATATTAAAGAATGCTTATTTACTGTAATGTCCTCTGAAATTCAAAGGCACCCACTTTGATGACTATGATAGCATGTTGAACTGTAATTTCCAACAGTTACAGTTTTCTTTTCATAATTTGTGTATAATTTAGTCCCTTGGTGCTAATGTTACTGTCTTCTTTCGCAATGTAGTAGAAGTACAATATTGGTACGACAAGATCATGATGTCCATAATCAATAAAATAGGCGAGTGGATCCCTCAACTCTGTAAATAGACGTTTACTTTTCTTTGGCCTTTTCGCTTGACTAACCACCTTACTCATTCCATTGATCGATTCATTTCTTTACTTCTGTTGCAGGACCCCGGCTTGAGAAAATATATGAGCTCTTCGGCTTTGAACGGCGTTTCCCTATGTATGATTACAGCTTATACCTTGGCCAGCTTCTGGGATGTGCAGTCGCTTTCCTAGGTAAGAGAATACTTGTGTGGATCATTAATATTCTTATTTTGATTGAGATGGATTTGCAAATGAGTATATTATTATTATTATCATTATTATACTTGGTGTTCATTAATTCCATTTTTGTGAACCTGCCAGCAATATACCTGGCAGCCAAATTTTCATTGGGTTTTCCCTTTGTAACTGCACTGCTAATATATAAATGGCGAAGGAGGCACTTGTCAATGTATGAGAATATAGAAGACTTTCTACGGAGTAATAATAATCTCATGCCAATAAGGTACTCTTACTCGGACATAAAAAAGATGGCCAGAGGTTTCAAGGACAAATTGGGGGAAGGAGGCTATGGCTCTGTATACAAGGCAAAGCTCCGCAGCGGTCGCCTTGTAGCCATCAAGATGTTAGGCAGGTCCAAAATTAATAATGGCCAAGACTTTATCAATGAGGTTGCTACCATTGGAAGGATTCGCCATGTTAACGTGGTGCGACTTATTGGCTTCTGTGTTGAAGGTTCAAAACGTGCTCTTGTATATGATTTCATGCCTAATGGGTCTCTTGAGAAATACATTTTTTCTCAACAAGGAGTTGTCTCCTTAAGTTGCCATAAAATATTTGAAATCGCACTTGGAATAGCTCGTGGTATTGAATATCTCCATCGAGGTTGCAACATGCAAATTTTGCACTTTGACATCAAGCCTCACAACATTCTTCTAGACGAGAATTTTACTCCCAAGGTCTCTGATTTTGGATTAGCAAAGCTATACCCATTGGATAATAGCATTGTATCTTTGACTGCAGCAAGAGGAACCATGGGATACATTGCTCCAGAATTGTTCTACAAAAACATTGGAGGTATTTCGTACAAAGCCGATGTGTATAGTTTCGGAATGCTATTGATGGAAATGGCTGGTAGAAGGAAAAACTTGAATGCGGGTATAGAACAATCAAGCCAATTTAGCCAAATCTACTTTCCGACATGGGTTTCTGATCAGTTGAAGGCAGGAAAGGACATAGAAATAGGAGCTGATGCAACAGATGAGGAAAAGAAGATCATAAAGAAGATGATGATGGTGGCTTTATGGTGCATACAAATGAAGCCTATCGAACGCCCTTCAATGAATAAAGTAGTGGAGATGCTTGAAGGAGAAATTGAGAGCCTCCAAATGCCTCCAAGGCCTTTCTTATACCCACAACAAATTCCTGCAGATGAAGTTGGTGTGGACAATCTAAGTCCCTGTGCATCAAGTGCTTCGGAATCTGAAGAGATTACTTTGATTGCGGATGCAGATGAAGTGAATTAATATTGGTCACGATGTGGATCTATGTAAGGGAAAGTTAGTATTTGATCATAGCACAAATATGTTTACATGTTGTAAATTGATTTAAGCAAATAATCAGCCTCTGCCTTTGGTTATTGTATGAGAAAGTGCCTGCCAGAAATGCAATGACTTGAACTTTGATGACAATTAGGTTTACACAAATGAATTGCCCAAGAGAAACAACTCATTTGTATATGGATATGTTATCGAGTGGGCTTATTATGCTTGAATCAAGGGTTCAAAATTAAACAAGACCCTACACGTCAAATAATCTCCATATCTGAATTAGAATCCAGTTCTACCGACAATGACTAAACCATATGTAAGAGTTTACAGACCCAGAGCAAAGCTACAGACTTGGATTTGGACCAAATTGAAACTCAAACTCAAACTCAAAAACCTTAGTGCAAATCCCTAACCTCCTAAATTTCTAGGGCTGAAATCTGATGCAACTCTGATGTGGAAATACCATACCCCTTTTGTGAACTAGAGCTTAATGGAGTCAGCAATTTGGGCTAAAAGATTGAAAAGTGCAAACTACACGACTGAACCACAGACAGGAACGAAGAAAAAGCTTAAAAAACATTAGCCTAAGCTGCACAATCCACGTGGGCCTACCATGGAGGGATTCCAAAGGGAAGTTCCAGTTTCACTAAATTCTAAATTCTTAACATAGGAATATGGCAGACAAACTTGATTAACAAATTAATTAAAAGAAAAAACCGCAACTAAACCAATCTGATAAGTGGTAGAGTGCTATAATCTTCTCTTTGACATAGATAGATAACACACATCACAGAAGTAGAAGACATTGCTGTTAAAACTTAAAAAAAAGCTCTGTTATTAGATCATTGATCCCATCCTCAATCCTAAAAAAAGCTCTTGATTTTTGAACATATATCCCATCCATTTTCAAATCCACTAGGATCGGCAAAGCCTATAGATGTTCTAAACAACCACTCGTAAGGTGGATTCAACGAGTTTAATAACCAAAGCCAAAACAAGCATGAGACAGATGTTCTAAGCAACTACTCTGTTTCTTTCTAGTTTCTACTAAATAATGTTGCCTCCATCCATTTTCAAATCCCCCAGGTCTAGGATAAGCAAGCCTCCATCAAAAAACACCAAGAGCCATTAAAGGCAAATGAACTCTACTTGACCTCTATCAAAAAGACAACAATAATCAACTGAATACAACAAGCAAACAAGCTCAGCTAAGATGTAGTATTTTGGGAGGAGAAACAAAAAAACAAACTCAATTGCAACCATCACTAACCAGAAACAACAAAAGAATTGTAGTTAAAAATATATACAACAACTTAACCTAAATCCATAAACTCATCTTACTACTAATTATACAACATCACATTCCTCGTTCCTAACTTGTCACAATTTCAGAGACTTCAATTGAAAAGTGAGAGATTAAAAAAATTACCATTTGCACCACACGCATTGCCCCCATCTCAAACAACAACCTGGCAATCTCTTGACCCACCGGCCAAAGTACCCAACCCGCCTTTCGAAGAAAGAGAAACCGCCACGCCACGGCACAAAACCCTCAAGCGCGCCGCCTAAGCCTGCGGAACCCGAGCCTCCGAAATGAAGCCGGGGCCGTAGTAGATAGAGGACTCGACGTTGTCGTATCGTATACTGAGCTTCTTGTTGGGGTTGTAGGCAATGAAGCCGACGGACCACGTGCCGGTCACGGACTGCGAGGCGGAGGAGACGTTGAAGTTGGAGAGAGAAAGCGAGTCGACTCGGAAGTCGGGGACCTTGGGGCGGAGGATGAGCCAGACGACGAGGAGGATGCAGCCGACAATGACGAAGAGGGCGACCATGGCGCCGACGAAGCGGCGGATGAAGGCCGCTCGTGGGTTGTAGGCGTTGGAGTAGGGGCCTCGGGGTTGGGTTTGGGTGGGGTTAGCGGAGTATGGGTAGCCGCCGTTGGGCTGGGCGTAGGGCGGGGCCGGGTAGCCCGTGACGGGGGGGGTTTGAAGAATTCTGGGAATTGGGGGGATTTTCGGGGTTTATCAATTTACCGATTTTGTGGGGAAGAGGCAGAAAAGAGAAACGAGAAATCTCTCAGGGTATTTTTGAAGTGATTGAATTGTGGGTAAAGTAAAGAATTTGGGATTAATTAGATTTTTTTAATGCGAATCGGGTTTTGTTTTTGCGGAAGGTTTTACTCTCATTCTTTCTGAGTTAAATATTTGTTCTTCCATAAATTTTGAGATGAAGACAAATACCACCGTCTGCGTGCATATTACGCGTTAATTCTGGAATCTCCTAGATTCCATTAATCTACCCAATTGTGATTTTATTATTGGATTGTTTTAGCTCACTTTACATATTGTGCATTCCACTACTAAAATTCTACTTAAAATATCAATATCATTTACGGTTTTTAAGTTACTTATTTGGGACTATAAGTGATTATTTTTGAATTTTTGAAAATTCAACTTGTTTGATAAGAGAGGCCTCATCATTTGGCCCGTGGGCTCATGGGCCTACGGGGGCCCGCCCGGCCCATGAAAAAAAATCCAATTGTGATAAGCGCTGGGCTCTATTGATGCCACTAAGGGGTTGTTTGGTACGGTGGACTGTCATGGACAGGACTAAATCCTGGGACTGTCTTGGATTAACTCGGATTGGCTTAAGCTGGATTAAGTCCTGACCTACGTTTGGTGCTATGTCGGACTAAGAAGCTGGATTGTAAAAATAGTGAAAACCTATGTTTGGT